ACTCTGACTGTTTTGTCCTCTGAACCAGAAATGATCTTTGTCCCATCATATGTAAATGCAACTGACCACACATTACCTTGATGACCTTCAAAAGGCTGTCCAAATGTCTGACCAGTGGATATATCCCACATTTGGATCTTGTTACCTGAAGTAGAGGCAATCTTTGTTCCATCAGGTGAAAATGCACCTGATATAACCTGACTTTGATGATGAAGGGGCTGTCCCAGAGTCCGACCAGTAGATATATCCCAGATTCGTACTGTCTTGTCATATGAAGCAGAGAGTATCTTTGTGCCATCAGGTGAGAATGCAACTGACAATACCAAATCTTGATGTCCTAGAAAAACCTGACATTCATTTGGCCAATCTTGTATACCTCTTGTCACTTGCAAAGAAGGATTATATAGTTTACAATAATGATTGGCAAGTAGAGAGGTCTGAGGTGAGAATGTGAGAATGCTGAAATAGAGTCCTGAACAGGATTCTTGTATTGCCTGATAAAACAAATTTGTCATCTTTGTTCCATCAGCCAATAACTGAGTCATGTTCTTATTGAGAGCCTGTAACTTATTAGTAAAATATTGCATCTATTCTATTATATGTGACTTACTCCTAGCCACCTATTGGCTATTTCCAACAGGGATGTAGCATAATATCCAGCACTGAGAATACTGAGAACCTCTAGCCAGTGAAAGAAGTGTTTCTGTAGAAATATCTCCAGATTCTGTATTGAATTCTTGCTCTGGACAGTCAGATTCCTTGTAGGATAATACTCTGACCAGTATTTGCAGGCATGTTGCAAACTCTGTGGAATGGAGACAGATATCTGTTCTGTTAAATCAACAATATCTCTATTGAAATATCCCTTGGATAATCCAAGAATATTGAACTTTAGCTTTGTGTTCATAAACTGGAGACAAGTGTTTGCAAGATATAATCCATGTGGTTCTTCCTTGACAGCAAATTCTCTGGATCTTTCCTGTTCCAGCATGAAATCTGTGAATGACTTGTGGCAACTTTGTAGTAGATGATCATTGTTCTGCTCTGCAAGGACAGGCCTAAGTTCCTTCTCAACCCACCACAAAGAGCATTTGGGTGTATCAATTAACTCCTCAATAGACAAGAGGTCCATTGGTTGCTTGGCCATGATAATTGTCCACAGAACCTTCTGTAGCAGGTCCTGCTCATCTTTCTCCAGATTTATGTAGATTCCTTGGAGAATTCTCATATAAAGGCTATCCAATGGCTGTGTATGGCCAATACTTGTGGAATATTGGATATCTTGTAACCGCTTGAGGGGATTTCCTCCCACTTCAATATAATCCAAGGCAGCCTTTGCCCACATAAATAAGCCAGCAGCATTATCCACAAGTTGTGGAATAATCTCCTTATCAGACCAACTTGGAGATATCTGTTGGATTTTTTCTCTAATAGAAGGAAACTGGTGTCTTAAATATTTTTCAATATCTGCTTGAGATTCCTCTGAAACAGAGCTTCCTGTAGCTAGGGTCTCTTCCAGACATTTTGATGTGAAATTACGTCTAATGTCATAATTGGGTCGACTTGTGATGATAAGTCGGAATATTCCAGGAAGTTGACTCCATTCTGCAAGTGTTTCAAGTAATTCATTCCACCGTCTTGTATCTTGTCTGTCTGCTTCATCCAAGGCATCAACAATGAGTGATATAATTTGTGGTTTAGAGCCATCAAATTGAGATATCTGCCTATAATATTCCTCCAAAGGGAACTTGATAAGCTTCTTGAATTGTGATAGCAAATCTAAGTCCTCTACACTTTGTTGCTGCTCCTGGATCTCCTTCACAGCACCAGAAAGATATGGTCTAAGGACAGCATATTGATTCAAAAGACTTCCAGCAACTGTGTGCCAAAACCATAATAGGTTTTGAGAAGCTGAATCTGTGTGTCGGAAAAAATACCGGGAGGCCCCAGTTTTCCTAACAACAGTAGAGGCAACTGCTGTCTTGCCTGCACCAGGACTGGCATATAGCCAGAGAATATTTGTCACTGTAGGGTCATTAACCCATGTGAATATTCTTGGGAGGAGAATTTCCCTAGTTCCCTCCAGGCAGGAATCACCAAGGGTGATTTGTGTAGGAGTATTCAAGGCCTCCTTTAACCAGGCAAATTCTGCAGTATGACTCATTGATTTTTAGCTGTACAGGATGGACGGAAGAACCAGACCTTGTTTACTATTTATCTGACCAAGAGACAATGAGTGGCCAATATGTTCTTGGAACTTTGACACAAAAATAAAATTAAAATAAGGCCTTTAAACATGAATATTACAGGGGCAACAACGCACATTAAGCCTTGTTATTGCATCATTTAAACGACCAACAAGATCTTGTATGACCTTCTTATCTCGCTTCAGTAACAGTGCCCTTTCCCAGCCCTTCCGCTGTTGCGCTTTTTCAACTTCAATTTGAATTCCATCCAGTACTCTGGTATAATATTAGCATTAATTAATTAATGAGCCGGAGGAAAAAAACATACCTGTTCATTGTCTGAATGTTCCCAACGAGTGACTTTGGAACAGTGTCTGGATCATAACCAAAGAGTGCTTTGGCAACTGTATCGGTCATATCTTGGAGCTTGGTCTTCAAAGCCTTCCAATCCTCCTTGTTGCGCGAAAATTGCTATTAAAATAGGTAAGGAGGAGTCCGCGGACTATCTCAGGAGTGAAATATACATCAACGAGATCTATGATGACCTTAATTCCCCCAAATATTCCCTTCGCCGGCCCAGGGAACGCATCTGCTATGCCGTCTGCGACATCTAACCCTATCAATAGACCTTCCTGGATCCCATCTCGAATCTTGATCAAACGATTATCCGCAGACATTGAAGTCTGCACACTGAGCACAGAAGCCGTAAACCAAAACGTAGTGGTGTGGTGGGCAAGGACAAGATGTAGTTACAGCCCTTACGAGCGATCGAGCTGATAGAAGCTGTGCTGCTTCTTTTCTCACACGATCAGCCGTATGTACAAGTAAACCAATCAAATGAATACCGCCATTGAAATGACAAATGCATCATAAATCCAACAAAGTTAAAGATTTGACTGAAAGCACG